TCAATGATTCTAATGATTTTTGAGACATATTTCATCCCTCCCAAACTTCAGATATTATAATATCACTTTCATAGTCATTAATCTATGTGAAAAAATCCAGTTTCAACTTGATTGCACAAAAATGCAAGGTTTCGTTCTGAGATATTACTTAGTCCAAAAACAAAAATATGATTAGAATGCATGCTACTAGATAGTTGCTTCAGATTCGCCTAGCAACTGGCAATTCCATGAGACCAGATACCAAGGGAAACTTGTAAGCTTGGGGCAAATTTATTTATTATTTATGTACTGACAACCGGGCAACACTCCAATTACAGTAGGAATTTCAAGGGAGGGGAATAGAAAAACAATAAAATGAACAATTGAGTAAAAAAAAATAATAGAACGAAGAAAGGACATTAATTGAACAACATTGAATTGAGTAAATTAATTGAACATTACAGAATTGCCTGAAAATAAGTAAATCAAATGTTTTGAAACATTCATTTCAATCTTTTAAAAAAAATAATTGTGTAAGGCTAAAAAGTTTGTGAGAGATCGTACATTTAGAGTTTTCATGTAGCATTGAAGGATCTGTGACCTGAAGAGTTTGCTAATCACAATGCTAGCATATTTATTTAATATTTTTCACCATTGTACTAAAACTAACTACTTGCTTATTTCCTCTTCCATATTTCAGATGATGAGAAAACTTTGAGTGATTATGCGAATAATGATAGCAATAGTGGGAGTCTTGTATTCAGTCCAGCATTAGTAGATGAAGATCCAGCTTTAGAGTATCAAAAAGTAATGAAAGGGCTACGCAAAAGAGTAGTTCAAAAACATCCTACAAAGGTTTGAAAGTATTTATTCTGAATTTTCATTTCTAAGGTTGTATAATTTTCATTATTAAATTTTTTTATTTTCTCAGTTGAGTAAAACTGCAAAAAGTGGAGCCTTAATTGGTGATTCAGATGTGGTTAATGACTGGTTAATTGATGATTTGAAAGATCAGACAAGGCCAAACAAAAAAAGGAAAACAAGAGATGCAGATATGGGAGGGTAGGTTATCTAATATGACAATCCTGTTGCAATGAAAGAAAATTTCCTTTCCTCTGGAATTGATATGAGCTCTTTGAAACAATGTGAATTCCGTCTGACTTAGGCACCCTTTTACAAAACACTGTGACATATTTCTTTTTATTAAATTGATTGATTAACGACATTTCTATTAGTTTCAAAATAAGTGGTGACATGAAAACAACAAATTATGCAATGTTGCTTTTATGAAAAAGTTTGCTACATAATTTGTAACAATATGGAGCATCTTTTACCATTGGCCACTTCAGGATAGCATAATAAAATTATCTGTATTCATTAGGATAGTAGTGATACACTTTCTTCGGATTGTTAATTTTAGATTTCTCAATTGGAACTTTTCCTTTGGGATATGCAAGGATGTTTGGAAAGATAACTTCAGGATCCTTCTGTAAAAGGAATGTGTGACACATGAGTCCATTGATGTATTCATTAACAATAACAGTCCCTCTCCTTTCTCGGAGTACTTCGAGTAGTGAAAAGTTGATAAGACGGAAAGAAACTTTCATTTCTTGAAGCAAGTTCTTAGCTTAAAGTGATGGCATGGTTTTCTTGTAGTACGGAGGTCGCCAGCCTTTGAAATCCAGGATTATGTTGTTTTCTTCATCGATTAAGTTGACAACATTAGGAGATTTGCCTGATGAATTGCAGATGAGTTCACAAAATTCTTTAACAGTGTATGTACAATCTTGTTTTTTGATGGGCCTCTTTATGAAAGCAAAGTTCCTCTTGCAGGATAGATAGGAATGTCCTTTTAATGGAAAAAAAACTGCTTTATTTTTTTATTCTTCCTGCGTCTGTAAGAGCAAGACAAAGTCTGCTTAAATGTGTAGTTCCTCAACCTCAGCAGAGACATTGCGGTTGATTTAGTCCAATAAGAACAAGAAATCTCATTGGAACCTTTCTGTGTTGGTCCTTCATGGTACAAATAGTATTCTCCCTGTTCAGTTCTGATGTTATGTATGCAGAGTACTTTAACATTCAGCTGTCTCAAATAAAACATTTCCTGAACAAGAGTTTTTGGAAGTTCAAGGTTTGTGCATGAAATTAAAAACTAATCCAAGGACTTTTCCAGATTGTTTAGTCAGTTGTGCAGATACTTTCATTGCTGTCAGAAAATATTTGGACTGCCTGAGATTAGTAATTAGTTTAGCAGCACAAACTCTTTTTGCAGTGTCATTTAGCGACTTACTCTTGAGATAAGTCTTCTTCTCCTCTCAAAAACAGCAGGTGTCCACGTGAGGTCTCCCAATTCTGGAGCTAAAACGTTCATGGAAATATTTATTGTAAAAACTGTACTTAATTTTGATGTCAGGATGTTTAGTTTTGAACCTATTGTACATTTTTAATACAGAAAGCACAACTTTCATTCATACGTATTTCATAACACCAGACATATAATGTGCTTCTTTTTTAGGGAAAGAGCGCATATGTCCGTGAATCTTCAAAAGTTCTTCTCCCTGAATCTTGAAAGAACCTGGTTGTTGTCTGATTTACCTTTTAGGAGGAGTTTTTTAATGAATGTCTCTTTTATTTGACTCGTAAAAAGAGAGGGAGAGAGAAAAAGAGCTTCCCTACACACTTCTATTTTTGTCATTAAGATGAATGTGGTATTTAAATGATTGTTCACTTTCCCTGGATTCTTCCTTCCTCTCCTAGTGCTGCTTAACCTTTGTAACTTCTATCATATGTTGCAGGTGCAAATCCTGTTGAACTTTAGTATTCATGTCAGTGTGAGGCAAAAATATTTGCATTGTCAATATCATCAAACTAGCCACCACATTTGTTTGCTCGCCTGAGACAAATTATAGAAACGTTTGTAGTCTTAACTTGATTGAATAAAGTATCCTGAATGTAAGTCGCTACTGACTGTACATACATTAGTTAACATTAACAATGCATTACTTTCCATCATTAACTCCAATCCTTGTACCTGCAAGTTGACCGAGGAGCTCTGGAACGCTTTCTGTTACCTCCATGGCCAATATACTCATAACCATGATCCCTTGATGTTCTGACGCCCTTATATCCACCCAGTGGCAAATCACCTCTGTAGTCACCTGCTAGGAAAGGGAAGGGTATGAAGGCATAATGCCATCTCCCTAGCCTACGCTTGGAGGGAACGTATGGCACTCATTATTATTATTATTATTATTATTATTATTATTATTATTATTATTATCGTCATCATCTTAGAAGCATTTTTTTGCAATTTCAGGTCTAAATTAATTGCTACATTGAGGAAAGACGTAGTGATTGAAGAGAACATGCATAAACATTTTGAAACAGATTTTATGGAAATTGAAGAGTTGCCTTCTGATAATGAAGAAACGACTCAACAATTTAAGAAGTAAGATAGTAGACTTTCAGATATGTAAATTAATTTGCTTCATTTGCATTCAAAAACGTTTCATGCATTCAGTAGTTTTTTGAGGTATATTAACGTCAGTTAAGTCTCAATTTCCTTTTCTAGATCTTCTAGTGATAAGAAATCATCTTATCAAAATTCGTTCCTGAACTCTGGGAATTTTTGTGCATCGGATATGTCTGGACGGCACAATGCTCTTTCTCATAGTGTAGTAGAAAGTGATGCTTATATAAATGTGAAAATAAGAATAGAAGAAACATCTCTTCTTGTGCCTATATGTCGTGAACCAGTGGAGCCGTTAACTATTGACTGGCTCACAAAAGAAGCTGCTAGTCGTTTCTTAAAGTGCGTATTTTGAATTTTTGTTGTAAAATAGACTGCTTTACTTTTCTTAGCAGTGTATTATTAACAAAAGTCTTTTTTACTCCATTGGCTGTATTGTGATTATAATGTGTTTAAATTCTTGTATGGTGAATTTTTAAACACTCATCACAGGTTTCATGGGAGAGAGCCATTATTAGTACTTGAGACAAGTGATGGTGCTAAACTGGCTGCTGATGATCCAATTGCTGTCATAAATGAGAGAGAACTTATAGGTAAAATTATTGAATGGAAAACAGTTTCTCTAAGACAGCGATATGAGGCTGCTTGCAGTGATACTCACTCTGGTTTGATACTTTTTTTTCCTCTCTCCAGATGAAATGGAAATAATTAACTTCGAATAATGAACATTACATCATAAATTAGATCTCATACTTCTTTTACAGTACAGGACAAGCTAATTAAAAATCGCTTACAGGAGTGTGATAACACTCACTGTCTTGATCTAAATGATTGTATTTTTGATTTGAATTGTTTGAAGCCTCTAATTCAATCAATACGTCATGAGAATTCCTTGAGAGAACTTTTATTAGGGAGCAATGCCTTAATGGATGAAGGAATTAAGGTATGATTTCTTCAACTATTTTAAAAGGAATTATAATCACACAAGTGGGAAATGTTTGTCAAGAACTAGTGTAGTGAAGATATGTAATTGACTTGATTAAAACATACTACAATCTGACCTGCTCCTAATTCAGCATCTCTGCATCTTTAGTTGAAATTATTATATGTAATAATCCTAACTTGAAAGATTGTTAAATGCATTAGAAATTTTGCATGTCTGTCTACTTTATTTATGTAATAATTTTGAACAATGAATCTTCATGGAAAGTTCATAAATGTTAAAGCTTTCATTTGACAATGTCTTCAGGCAATTTCTAACATTTTTTCACAAACAGTGCGCATAAATGGCAGTAAATTAACACCTGTCATAGGAACTGCTCAGAATATTACTTTCATTGTTAAAAAAGGTAGTATAATTTTTTAATTATTGAGAAAAGTTGAATGCTTCTGAAATCAAGAGTTTTAGCGATTAATTTAATGATTTTTTAAAAATTAAATGCACTAAAAATATTAAAATGCAAAATGATAATCTTGAAAATTGCATTTACCTACTTTACCTTTCAGAAAAACTTTACTTATGTTTTGTTACTGAAACAAGTATCACTTGTGGATAAAATAAATAAAGCACAACTCTATAAACTTATGAAATAATTGCAAATAATTGTATTATGTGATTCAAAATGTGTTGTGAAAGTACATATTTCTGTCAGATGCAAAATACTAATTTCAATATTCCATCTCAATTGAGAGCATGCTTGTATCAATCTGAAACATACAACCAACAGATTTTTATCAGTGCATTCTCTTTAAATCTCCATGTACATTCATTAAAAATGTAAGTAAACTGTTAAAACAAAATTGAAAATACGTATTAAAACACATAGTTGCACAATTTGACTGCTTTTGGATACACAATGAATTCATTTTATACACAGTCCAGTCACATTAATGTGATCTCCTGTCAATATCTGGAATAACCTTTTGCAGTGCTGACTACTGCAAGATGTGCAGGATCAATTATGTTCTGGATGGTACCGAAAGGAATGCAGAGCCATGCTGACTGATGCTAGGTTCCTTGATTGTAGTTCCATGGTGCAAACAATCCGATCGAAATTATCCTACAGATTCTGGATTGGGTTTAAATCAGGGAATTTTAGTGGCCAGGGGAATACAGTAAACTCATCCTGGTGCATTTTGAACCACACATGTACACTGTGAGCTGTATGTGTTGCACTGTCCTGCTGGTTAATGCCTTCTTGCTGAGGAAAAACTGTCTTCAAAGAGGGGTAGAGACACAGTCCCCAAGCATGGCTGCATACTTCTTTTGATCCATTGTGTCTTCCAGGTTGATGAGATCACCCAGGGAATGCCACGAAAACATTCCCCACCATCATGCTCCCTCCTCTGGACCCGTCAAGCGATTGTTGCAGGGTGTTTGCGTTCAGACATTTCATGCCGTGTATGCCAATGACCATCTGTCTGAAGGAGGGAAATAAAACAACTTGATTCATCAGAAAAGGCCACCTGTCGCCTCTCAGTGAACGTCTAATTGTATTTGGGCAACTTCCAGCCTTGGAGGATACCCTGCTGGTAGCTCCTTGGCCCATCTGGGCAGTCAGTTGCGCTACCATTGTGTGTCTATCTACCTGTGCATATGTCCACAGGTGTCGTTCTCCTCTGTCATATGTGATCCATGCTGCACCTCAGTTCCCTTTGTGTGGGTTTTGGACATCACCATTTAGCCATGTACAGTATACTTTAACCATGACGGCATGCGAACACTTTGCAAACTTAGCCATTAAAGAAATGCCCTTGGCCCAAAAGCAAATGATCATGGATGCCCTATAAATCACTACGTTTCTGCATTGTGACTACTTTTTATGTACTCACCATCATTAGTGTTGCCATCTGCAGTGAGGATGGTGTAACGGTTAGCGAATTGGACTGTTATACCAAAGTTTGTGGGTTCAAACCCCAATCGAAGCCGTGAATTTTTAAGGGCAAAAAAATCCTTCATACTCCTTCTTTTGGAGGGGAAGTAAAGCCGGCTGTCCAGGTTAGTACATTTACTTCATGTAAAAGATCCTCAAGCCTAAATGAAGCCTTTGAAGCATTCAAATCGCCTCTTTCATCGCCAGATACCTCCTTTCCCTGCTAGTGGGTACTCTCTGCTAGAGCATAGTGAAATTTGTGTGGTCAAATGGAAGAGCGGGCCTGATGGCACGAATCTCGCCACGTAAAATATGGCATCGATTCAATTCAATTCATTTACATCTGTGAGGGGTTATTGCACATTTACGTCTACCATGTGCAATGATCATATTCATGTGACTGGACAAAGTATTTTCTTGGGTACACTAAAAGCTCCACAAACAAATAATGAAAATGATGTATCAGTAACATTATAGTTTTTTGTTGTTTTTTTCCATAGATATTTTCTACAATGGAAGGTCTACCCGTATTAGAAGTTTTAAATTTAAAATGTAATAATATAACCTCAATTGGACTTACTTCCTTGGTGAATTTTCTGATCCACTGTCAGGTACAACTTTAGCTCTGAAGCTAGAATTTTATTACAGATTCAGCTATTGCAGCTTTAATTATATAAACTTCTTGTTTATTTCCTTTCATTTTATTTTAAACTTTGTATTGCAGTCATTGAAAATTCTCGACTTGAGCTTCAATGATTTTGACAGTGGGTGGCTGAAAAGCATTCATAGAATTTCTAAATATTTGGACAACCTCATTTCCCTTAATTTAAAAGCTTGTGATATGAGTGGGAATGAGTTCCTTTCATGGAAAGAAAATGAACCTGCTCTAAATAATTGTAAGTATTAGTGATAACATGATATATGTACTTTTGATAACTTTTCTCTAAATATCTACTAAATAAATTAGAGTAATCCATTTAAAATATTATTTAATATCTTTCTGATTTCCAACATAAGATGTTTTATGATGAGCAACATATCAAAATATTGTACTGTTTTCCCTTTTCTTATCCAAAAAATTAAATTTATAAAAAAATAATAGTAAAGAAAATAGCCTTTGAAAAAATTGTAGGGTTGATAATTATTCAGTACACATTGCTTTTTTCTTTTATTTTTGTAATTCAATGTTCATTTCAACCAAATAAGCATTTATTAACAACAAAAAAAATAACCTTAATATACCCTATACACTGACTGTATATAGTCTTTTGCTTCTTTCAATCCGAAATCTTATTATTGCAACTTAAATTTAATGTATTCTTGAGCATGAACAAACAACAAAAGTGAATTAATTAAAATTATAAGCAAAACAAACAACAATCAAATAGATGTAAAAATAATATCTTGAAGAATACAATTCACATTTTAACTCAGTTTCCTGAGTGTCCAAAGAGAATATTTGTTTTCCTCTTACCTGTACTATTCTTCAAAGTTCTTAAACTTGGTTCATTCCTGGTTTTCGTCAATGTTATAAATGTAAATTTCGTCAATGTTATCTCTGGTAAAACCTTATATGAGTTAATTGGTCATGAATTTCCGTTCAAGTTCGTAATCAAATTAGTTCTTAGTTTGATAGTTCAATCCTGTTATATCCACCTACAACAGTGTTTTCAATCGTCTATCAAATAATTTTTAAGATCTAACACTCTCTTTACTTGCCCAGATCAATTTTCTGATCTGTACTTTACAAGATCTTGATATGTTCTGGGTGTTGATTTTCAACTTTGAACTTACTACATCAGTTGTCATGACTTCCATGCAAGGCTCTCTATATCCATCTGTATCAGATTGCCTGTGACTTGCTTATCCAGTACTTGCTTCTTCTTCAGCGGACTTTGAATGTTAAAATATGGATTCATTACAATATACACTTCAAAACAATATATATTGTTATTTGAAGTGGTATATTGTTATTGAAGTGTTATATTGTTATTTGAAGTGGTAATTTCACAGGATTTAACAACTTCTGATACAATGATAATTATTTATCTATTATTTGAAACAATACTTTGATATGGCATGTTTTTGGTGAACATTCAGAAAGTCTAAAATTGGCTAAGAATTCTCTTCAAACTAAATTAAGTTGCAGAATTACTGTATTTTATTTGTTGCATCTACATATTTTCCTTTAGTTTTGATAATTATGTTTTGTAGTTCAAAGTCTCAATTTCAAATGTGCTGAATAAACCTATGTAGGTTTGAAGTTAGTGGTGCTTCGGAAGCAAAGATTTTAACACTTTTTTTGTAATGTGTATAATTTTCCTCTATATATTATCCTATTTCAGCTATTTCTTGAAAAACTCTCTTCCCCAAATTGCTGGAAGGATGGCACATATAATGTCCATTTGCTAACAAATGAACTTTTTATTGCAACATTCTTGGGCAACAAACTCATCATTGCTGAATCGTACATCTAAATAAAATTTCTTGTAGTAACAATGATTCAAGACTACCTTTGAAGACAAATTTTCAAGAAAAATAATATTGCAGCTGGTTTTTGAAAAAGTCAATTTATTATTTTTTTAAATGGGCTATTTTGTGCTTATTTGTACCCCAAAACTTTCAAGAAACTTTGTATGACTTCATGGGAGCTTTTAATACTTACTTGCATTTGTGAGTACAAGGGTTTTTAATGATGTCTTCTAAAGTTTCTCAACAACTCAAATATTTTCTGTGAAAATGAGCTTGAAATTGTGCATTTTCAGATATGCTCAAATGCTATAATCTCAAAAACAGCTCCAAATTTTTACTTTATATTTTTTGTTCAGATAGTGCTAAATGCACTGAAAAATTACACAAGTATAATTTTTTTAAATATGTCTCTCAATCCATAAATGCATTATTAGAGGCATTTCTTATATTTTATCACATTTGTAAGCATAATTGGTTCAAATAATTTCTTATAAAGTTTTGGGGTGAAAACTAACTTCATTGAGTGCGTTATCAAATACGCTTAAACAACATTTTCTTATAAACAGCTTCAAATTTCTCAATGAAAATATTCATAAATGACCAGGCTTTACCTTTCAATGATTGTCTCAAAATAGTATTTCAATTCTACTATATTAGGGAATCGGGATAAAATTGAGAAAATGTGTAGGGGGGGGGGGATGACTTTTACCTCCCAATAGATGACAGCTAAAAAGAGGGTAGGGCAAAACCAAAAAGATAGCACGGACTTAAGTGGTAAGGAAACTAGTATGAGAAAGTATGTGCCATTCTGTTGCACACCTACTTTAGTATTGTTTAATCACACATGTAGTAATTTGGTAACCTGAGTGTCCAATACTCACAATAGGACCTATAATTTGAGGCAAGAGACATTCTATTTGATGCGTCAGTGTACAGGTGGAAAAGTGACAATTTTTTTCAGGATCCTTCTTGAACAATCTTAGAGAATTCTTGAACAAAATGTATTGGGACCACCTAGAGGTTATCAATACCTTGAACAAAACTAATTTTTAGATGCAACCTTCTAGGATATTCTCAAAAAATTCTAGAATTGCAAATTGCAACAGTTCTCATGGCACTTACTGGGACTGACAATAATTAAGCCTAATTTCTTAATGGAATATTAAACTTTTTTTAAAGTATTTTTTCCTGTAATTTTTCATCTAATTTCCTGTTGATTTGTGGTCAAAGATGGGCAAGCCAGGCTACAAAATTATGTTTAAAATTATTTTTATTATGATCTTGCATGTGTAATATTAAAATGTCAGTGGTCTTGCTAAGCCAGACACACAATTCTAACAGTGATTGATTTCCTGGAAAAGCTATGTTAAATTTACTGAAGTAATTAACGAAATGATGGAATCTTTATTCAAATAACTTAGAGCTGGTATCCCATTATTGACTTAACATGTTATTTTATTTGTTTTTGTAGTAAAAAACCTAGAAGAGCTGGATGTAAGTGACAATCCGCTAGGAGAAGTTGGAATAAATGGCTTTTTGTGTAATTTGAAAGCCAATAAAATCAGAAAATTGTGTGTATCTAAAACTGCTTCTGGTAAATCAAAGGGTGTGACCAAGATTGTACAATTTTTCCAAAAAGATGAACCTTTAAATCTAAGATTTCTGGATCTGGCAGACTGTGATATCAATGACAAGGAACTGATGGAGATCATAAGGTAATTTATATTATCTTTCATCACCTTATGAATGTTAGCGATATTAAAAAGTTTTTCATTAATTTGTGTAAAATGTTTTGAATCAGGTGCTTAAGAAATTCGGAAAGTCTAAGAACATTGTTATTATGTAACAATGCAGATTTAAAAACATCCTCACTTGATGCATTAATGAGTATGCAGAACATGCCCCGAGAATTGGACTTATGTGGTTGTGATTCTCTCTATCCTGAAGTTGTTGATGACAGTAATGATCTCTTGGTAAACAATGAGGTCCTTCAAAAATTAAATTCTCTTACAATGGACATTCATCCAAAATTAAAATCTACAAAGCATTGGAGTGATAAATTTGAAGAACGCTGGAAACAAATTTGGGGTGTTCGTGGAAAGGTGTTGAAAGGACCTTCAGGTTTGTTAAGATTTGTAGTTGCAAAAACTGATGAGCAATAATCAAATGAACTCTTGAGAGAGGTTATTTTGTAAAGTATGTTACCTGTATTATATAAAAAAATGTATGATTTAATTGTATTTATTCATCAGTAAGGCTGTTATTTGCATATTTTTTTCTGTTAACTAAAACATCCTGTTTCAACAAATTGTGTACGTTTTGAGGCATTTTGAATCAATTTAAGCTATTTTTATTTTGCATATATCACTATAATTCCATATTTGGGTCATATCTACATATTTTTGTTGCATATACACCCCCTTGTGTGCAAAAAGAAGCCCAAAAGTTACAGTTGTCAGCGTGTTAGCAGCTCAGACAGTTTTCTCGCCACTTGCTACCAATTACTATGGTACATGATGTGACCTGCTCTGAAGCAATAGGCTTCCAAAGATTTGGTTACGTTGGCATTGTCACGAATAAGCATTGCTGTTCGCCTAACTTGTACGAAGTCACTCGAGAAGCACGCTAAGATCTGTCATCAGCAGTATCGGTCGAAATGAACTGTGCATCTACTGAGCGCCTTCACGTGCCCACACACGGCGCAAACGTGGAGTGATGTTAAGTCAGGTCCATTAATTGAGAGGAAGTCATATTTTTGTTGCCATACCTTTATTTTGTGAAATGTACATCAACTGTATCTTCCATTATTTTTCTAAAAAATGACTGTTCTTCAAAATTAAGCACTATTTTGCAATATTTTCCTTTTTTAATTGCATATATTACCAAATATATTTACATATATTTGCACAGGTTATGCAGTTTTTATTGCGTATATATCACAGCCCATTTATCAGCTGTTTAAGAATTTGGATCAATACATGTTGGAATCAGGAATTAACAATTAGACTGAAATTATCCTGTTATACCTGGCCCAAGTATGTGGGGATATTCTTGAAGTAAAGTGGTTTTCTTGGTTTTCAACAAGTGGTGGTTTGAGATCATTATAAGTAGGGGTGGATTTTGATGACCTTAAAACTGCCAAAAATGATCAATAAAAATATCTTAGAATGTTTTAAAATTCCTTAAAAGGAAAAAGAAATTTATGTGATCAAAACCAGTTTGGATGAACAAATCAAGCTGTTGGATACATTACTGATGTAATCAACTCTATCCAGGTTCTATTCATCCACATGAACTTAGCTTGCAAACTTTTGGTTTGGATTGTTCTGTACAGGGAAATCTCTTCCTTAAGCTATCCTGAAAACAGTTGAACCAAGAATGGCACTGATAGGTGTCGCAGGAACCTAAAATTACATACTCTCACTGCCTGACATTACAATTTCTGAACAAAGAAATCAAATGGACTACTCAGGAATTATGTGGAGAACAATTGTTACGTTCATAAATATTATTTGATGCAAGTACTGTTAACATGATATTAAGATCAATTTAATCAGCGAAAATAACTGAAAAGGATAAAAAATAACTTATTAGTCGAAATCAAAGAATGCAAAAAAATGGATTATTTTCTTTTGTCATATCAAAATTAATTTCTATAATTTCTAATATACTAAACAGCATTATTTTAAAGTGAAAAGAATAAAAGAGACTTCTTTAAAATCCACCCCTCATTGTAAGTATTGGCATAAACCTTCAAGAAAATGTTTCTATCTTTCTTCCTGTGACTTTGTTTTCTTTACAAAATATTGTTGTAATGTTCTTTAATACTGTTGTATTGATCGGTGCACATTGTATCCACTGCTTTAAAAGACTGGTTTATTCTTGTATAAATGTGAATAAAATTTATATTTTCTTTTACAAGTTCCCTTATTAAGACTGGCCAATAATAATTACTTGTGCAATGAGTTGTTGTTTTTCATGTTGGTCAGTGGTAAACAATAGATTTTCAAAGATGGTAAAACTAAATGATTCTCAAGCTTCTCAGCAACTTCGTCGTTTAAACAGTTTTTATACTACCCTACTTTTATCCCATTTTCTGCTAGAACTCGCTATTTTCACTCTTACAAGAATTGATTTTTAATTTTACTTCATCGTAAACTGCGATTGCAATAAAGAAAAGATATTGTAATGCTACAGGGCGGAAAACTGCAACTTTTCGGCAGATTAACCCATATTTCCAGGCCCTGGTAACGTAAAAGTGGATAAATTTAAGTGTAAGTGCCCTATAAAGGCCCATTCACAATACATAAGCATATCGTCAACATAAAAGTTAGGACTACGTCCGTAAGCAGACTCGCAATGCGTTCGCATACGCATTACGCGTAAGATGTCAACTTGAAAGCTTCTGTGCTTAAGGCCCATTCACAGTGCAAACGTAAACAGAAGCATAGCGCTTAAACATTACCATAAGTGATAGACTGAAGTATTCACAAGGTCTAACGCAAACGTAAGCAAAATAAGTTTCTATTGGCTGTGAGGCATTCTGGTTTACTATTGGATGGATGCGAGAATCGATTTCAAGGTATCGACTGTGTCCATGGCCCATATGGCGTTCTATCGACTTCGCTCCAATTTCTATTCTCGACTTTGAGTTTACGTTCTGTGATTAGTTCATTTCTTATGTCTTACTTAAGCATAAGCACAGAAGCTTGCAAACTTTAAGTTAACTGTTATGCTTATGCGAACGCATTGTGAATGAGTCCGCTTATGGACGTAGTCATAACTTTTTATGTCAACGCCATGCATATGTTTGTTTGCATTGTAAATGGGCTTTTATGCTGAAGATATAAGAAATGAACCAAAAGAAACTCATATTTTGCTTACTCTAAGTTAGACATTGTGAATACTTCAGTCTATCACTTTTGATGTTTACCTCCATGCGTTATGTTTACGTTTGCATTGTGAATGGGATTTAACTCGTCATAATCCGAGTTTTGTGGGACCTTGACACAGAAAAATCGATTTGCAGCGTCAGGTCTGTCCGTCTGTCTGTGGTTAATGCTAGCCCCTAAAACCTTCAGCCTATTTCTTCCGAAATTGATATTTCCCGGTGGATTTCAACGAACTCTGCAAGTTTGAAACTATTTTTTAGGGTACTTTAGTAGTCCAGTCAACTGGTAGAAAATAAGTGACAGGTTTGGGTCCCACGTGTGTTGGGCCGCTGAACACAAATATCAGATGTGCCAACAAGAATTTTGCCCCGAAACCTGATTTTTTAGCAAAAAATTATGACTCTTGTTTTTTTTCTTTTCTTCCTTCATAATAATTCAAGCGCTATCAACTTTTCGTAAGTTGGTAGAGATGCAGTTAGTGCATTCACGCGCGCTGTCGATTCCGAGAATGAGCCAATCACAGTGCGACCGATACACTTTCCCGAGAAACGTGAAGCTTCCCTACGCAGTTCCAAGTTGAGGACTTCGACCCTCTCGTTACATAAAACATCCTCGAGTCTGTCCAACGCATTATATGCGAGCCATGGTGATCGCAGCTGACGCACCTTCCTGCGGAAAATAACGCTTTGCTACCCGTTCCTAGTTGATGAGGCTCAGGCCTACGGTCCTCACTGGTTAACACAAAACAGTGTTGTCCAACTGGCGGCCCGCGGTGCCATTTATCGTGGCCCGCGAAAGGTTATAAGCGAAAAGTGAAAGCCTTTTTCATCCAAGTCAGATGAGAAGAATATGCGCCTATCGCACGCGCCCTGCCGGGGTTAAAACCCCCTTTAATATGCAAATGGATAAATGTAGGACTTCGTTTAGTAAAGTCAGAATTTCAAAATCATCCCAATGTTTCACTGTGCATGGTACGGCCTGATATCACCCATGCTACCCCCCCTTAATGAAAATTAACCATATGAAAGTTGGGAGGATTTGGTAGTTGAACACCACTGACAAAACAGCCTTCATTCAGTCCAACGCATTCTATGCGAATACACCTCAAAAATAATTTGGTGTGTATATTTTCTTAATTTTTTTCAGGAAAGCCTCCTGCTTGCCCCACAAGACTTTTCCTTCAAGTATACTCGCGCGCTAACGAATCATCACAAAGTGAATTTCAGCCCATTAATGTGATCTTCGTATGTCCTGTTTGAAATATAAGAAGAAAAACTTGCCCACATTTAATAACATTAAGCTTTTTTTTCTCCGACAGATGTCAATAACGTTTAGAGCAAGTGAGGGCAACACCGTCGCCTCTGGATGATGTCTAATGCTGGGTGCAGGGTACTAATGATCAAAATACGGTACATGTGTCAATTATCTTTTAGTACATCGAGATTATTATACGTTGCAGGTTTTCCTCTGCCTATAATGGCAGTTTGTTTTGTTTACAAACATTTTCTCGCGGTGAGATATTCATTGTCTATAATCGTCTCATATATTATTTCAGTAGTATACCTAACTTTTGCGGCTTTTACCCGCAACCAATCTTTATAGATGAGGACTCTTAAAGACATAATTTCACAGAGCCGTGACGAGTTGCACTTTGACTTTATAAATATGGAGGATTTGTTTAAAAAAGCATCTAAATATTGTCAAATGCAACCCGCAACACTTGCATACTTTATAATTTAATAACTCATGCAACGTTTTAGATCCTTAAATTTCAAGGCGTAAGGTCTAAAAAACGTTTCTCGCTTCATTATCTACATAATAGAATCTTTCTGGACATTCTATTATATTTTTTTCAATTATTTTTCTATACTTTTCTGGACGCTACCACAGCGTACGGTACTCGGCTTGAGGCGCAGCTCCATGTTAAATACCCTTTGACAATGTGTTGATCAGCGACTAGCGGTTCCTGCGGTGACAAAGAAACACTAAGCCCATTACATTCGATATTGCAATCGTAATACAGCTTCGTTGTGCTAAATAAGTCCGAAAACAAAATGTTAATATATTTTAATTCCCTCTCGGATATACTTAATTAAAAATACAACAGGTGAGATACAATTTAAGAAAATAAATTATTTAAATCTAATCAATATGTCCAATTGAAATTTAATAACGTCTTTATGGATTACTATTTCTTTACTTTTAATGAAAATGTTTAGAAACTGCTAACCAAAGAAGTACAAAAAAATACACAAATTAAAAAGAAGATTCTGAATGCACGCAGAAGGGTTTATTGAGAGAATAAACTTTTAACCTAGATAGCCAAATAAAAACCAGGGTGATGCTGTGTTCATATTTTATTTCACAGTACTACAAATTATTTTTAAGACTACATCTAAACTATTTTTTCTTACTATTAAAATATTAATATTCCAAATGCTGGAGTTTAAATATTTTGTCTTGTTTTTTACTTACTGAAGTAATTATCTGTTGGTGAACTTCAACAAATAGTAAATTCTTATTCTCACAAAAGTTTCCATAACTATCCACTTCACAACAACAACTCGCGAAATTGAGTTCTGGGAGTTTGTGTAATTGCTGAGTAGCAAGCTTCACAAACAATTCAGTGTAGAAATGCCTTCTGGAAAGCAAAAGGGCGTTGACTTCAAAGGTGTGGGCGTTAATTCCAGACGGAGTTGACTTCAACTCGCCTAACAGCCGCGACACATCGCCGATCCTTATGAGAGCTAGCGAAAGGACGAAGTTTCACGTTGCGGTCGCTGGAGAGCTTGTCGACGACCATTTATGAGACCTTCGGACCGCTTTAAATCGACTACTCTAGCGTAAACTCAGGCGGGGTCCTCATGTGACCCAAGAAGTATATCACTATCTCAATGAAAAAGAATCAGATTTTGGTCTTTGAGTAAGTTAACAGTGTTTATAAGAAAAAAGTAGATTACAAAAAATATTTACACACTAGATTTCTGTGATCTTGGCATAGAAGCTTACAGCACGTTTCGCAAACTATCCTCGTTTTTCTGTCCGCATTTCTCGTAACCATGTAGCAATTTGCTTTTCTACTTGGTTCTCACTCAAAGGATGTTGAAGTAAGGGAAGTTTTATTTATGATAACACTATTACACAAATCGTAGCAGTCAAAATAGAACAAAATATCAATCAAGGGAATGAAAAATAAGTAAGTTAACACTACGGTGGAATATTCTGAGACCTTTTCCTTTCTAATTCCAAAAATAAACCTCAAATCTCTTCGCACGAGTCACGAGTAGTAACTCAATGCCACTGAAGTATACTGTCTACATGAGCGCTATCTAGTAATTGGTTTCCGAACTATGACATATACTTAGGCTGGGGAACTCTAGGACCTCCACCAGAGAAGTAAAGGGTTAATACACGGGGAAATGCCTGCCCTTCATTCAATTTTGGCCATTTATAGTGATATAAGGAACCTGGTTGGTGACGCAGTGGCAATTCTTTTTGAAGTATGAAATACAATATTTATTCTTAATTATTTCTTGTATTTACTGTATTTTAAAGTTTATAGAGAATTTTAATGCATGTAATGCCTTCAAACATTTTAAAGACAATGGATGAAAACTAAGAAAATAGCGAAGCATTACTTTATCAGTTTTTATACCATCAATTTTTATATTTCCTAACTGTACTGATTCTTTTAAATTATATTATACATTGCTCAAAAAGATCAAATTCAAAATAGAAGTGTTTATTGTAGAAGAAAAAATCCCTAAATAACTGGAAGAAACTAGTTCTAAACAAAAAGACAGACGCTGATGATCCAGAGCCATCCAGGAGAGTTCACTCATCAAAAGTACTCCAAATCACTATTGCCGTGCATAGTCGCTATCATATGCTTAGCGAGCTATAGCCCTGGGAAAAACATTCTCACCTGGACATAAGAACCAGGAAGTTACATACAACTAGGCGAAATTCATATTGGCGCTCTCGTGGACACAAAAGAGATTTTCATTAAGATCAAACTGATGTACAATGTAGAAATTATTTCTAACGAGAGCACCGTGCGAGAACTTTTGCAAGTTAATCCCACCTTTTTCTTTATCCTTTCCATCTAAGAAGGAAGCTGTAATAAAACGTTTTATTTGGTAAAAAAATTTAAATGTAACTTCGTACTTACAGAATATAAAAAACAATGCAATTGATGTTGAAAAAATTCAATAAAGGTTTATTCACTATTATAGGCTGATATGTTCTTCACACAATATGCAAGAGAGTTTGAGCGGCTTTTTATATTTTACGAATATGGGGGTGATGGCCCCATGCCTCAAACCCCTTCCAGGAGAACCGTGTAATTTTCGTTTAGGTTTTCTTCCCTTAGATTGAGAGTCTTCCAGGACTCCGGAGTACAATCTACCCCTATTTGAAGCACTTCTGCTTCTGAACAGGAAAAACGGAATGGTAAGAATACATCTAAGGTTAGAAAACATAAACCTCCGACCTACTCAATTGGCTCCCGGGGTTCAGGAATGGATTTGAGGTAAGAAGGATATCTTACAGATACCCACAGCGGTCAGCTACTCCTTTCTGGGGTTCTGGAGAAAAACATTTCATAGAAATGTAATGACAACCGAGCGATCGTGCGCCCTCGCAATCCTGTCAAATACTTTTACTAGTAGTAGAGAAGCAACGTATCCGTGAAACCAGTAACTTCAATGAATTAGTGATGGAGAAATTTGTTCATCTGAAAAATCGGCGATTGGATTTTCAATTCAAGTAAACAAGGTAATAATACAATTTCCTCATTTCTGGATAGATTGATAAAATTGACAATAAATGTCTCGTTCCGAATGTTGGCTAATAAAACTATTGTATCATGGAGACTGTGCGTACAGAAGGATCAAGTTCTAAAGTAATAAATGAGAAATTAATGCATTATTTTTCAAGATTGGTTATTAATATTATAAATATTAATTTTCTTCGCAAATTTTCCGGTCAGTAGCATAAAAGACGCCGTGCCCCTTCCTGCTTCAGCCGGACGTGCCGGGAGGCGCTGACCTCGGCCCGATTTGGGAGCGTCTGCGCGCCCTGCGCTCATGGCGCGTTGTCACCCGCGTGTGCCGCATTCGAGAAAAGTTTATGACACAGTGCATCAAATTCAAACTTTGTGTCTTGCCGCGAGATGAAAGTACGTGTGCTTCACTAAATCACATTTGATGATTGCGAAAATGAAATATTCCACCACGTACCAATTTTTCTTGAAAATATTTGTCACATGTACCATTACCGAGAAACTTGGAAACAACTCAATAACAATAAAGGAGGAATCTATAGGGTGTGAATCTACAGATCGTGCGACAAAACTAATTTCTATTACCAAAATTGTTTGTATATTGTATTATTTGTATAACTAATTGTTTGTATTTCAAAACAAAATGAAACAGTACGACAATATTTGGAATTTTCTTACAAGCTAGAAAAGTTTTCTGGAAACTTTACATTTGTGGGGGAATGGTGATACTTCTTGTAGGAGTGTCCAGTAGTAATCCGCCAAAAGGTATGGTAACCATCTTCCCTTATATCGAATTTTCATGGCAGTGATATCTTGGTGTAACCGCTCACTATGTTCGTCACTAATATCTGGGTCAATAACCCCCATCTCGATCAGGTTTTCGTCCAGTTTGCCTGATCCTTGAGCAAATGCTGAGATGGCCCCTTGTTTTGCTTCAGGACATAAATGTAACTTCGTATTAACTTCTCCCTACAGCACGTCACACGCAATTTTTAACTGTTTCTTACGTAAATAAATAAACATCTCCAAGATTAAGTGGGAATAAATCCAAGTGGGAATGAAGGAAATGTAATTTCAAAATCATGTTGCATCCCATAGCCTTGTAGTAGTCCAGTACATATTCCGACAGTTCCCTATAATTCTCAGGCATTACGTTTGCGAAGACATTATCTTTTAATGCGCGAAGCTGCCTTCTCAGTACCTGTCAGCAACTGTTCAAAGGTAATATCTTTCATCACGTCACGCATCTCAGGCCCAATAATAATTCCCTCTTTTTTTGCAGTACTAATCGCAGGAAATTTAGATAGTAAAAATTGAAAACATTGATTATCTTTGTTCATTGATTTCACCAAATTCTTCATAAAGCCAAATTTCAGATGTAGTGGTGGTAATAGCACATTTCTGTTCATTATTCGATCAAGACTAGATACCCATGTAGTTTCCTTGACGTTTCAATTGAGTCATTATCAGTGGCTAATATGACAGTATCATAATAATATAGTTTTTTTTTCTCCGGTATATGTGAGGCGTAGAACTGGTAAAAGATTGGGCCGAGTACATTACCTTGGGATACTCCGGATTGGATTGGAAAGAAATTGGATAATTCGTTTTGTTACTTGATTTGGATTATTCGGTAGGAAAGGTAAGATCTGAAGATATGGAGGTATGG